CATTCTATAAGGAGCCTTAGAAATCGGTGCCGTTCCAGGTAAAAGTTTGATTTCAAATGAAATCTCACGTTCTGGTGGTAATCCTGGTAATTCTTTCGGAAAGACTTCCAGAAACTAAGTTTAACAAATTCTAATTAAGTTTAACACTTAATTTAAGTATTTCTATGTTCCCCACATTTCTCTTGTCGAGACTAAACTTTCCGTTTCTCGAAACTAGTCTCTTTCCGGTATTGATAGTTCCACAACCAATACAGGTTCTATACTGCTTTTCTGGACTGTTGAGCACCCTGGGTCAAACTTCTCATGTCCAACCCAATTCTCTTGGGTATCTCGTTAGTCAATTTCTTTTTTTGAAATTTTCATTCTTTGATTCAGAATTGCCCAAAATGCATACCCTTGCGGTACTCATTTTTTTAGCAGTTTCCCGTTTTAACTGACTGGGAAAAATTCTGTTTCAGGAACTTTTGCTATTTTCCTTACTTCCAATATTTCTACTCGTTTTCTAATTGGTTATTTGGTCACAAACCAAATATTTCAGTTTTTCATAACTAAAATATATCTGTTAAAATTTTTAACTTTTAACTGATATTTCACTATTCATATTTGATATTTACGAATTTTCTTTGTAAAATTATTCGTATTATAACCTTATACTTTTCAGGAGATTTTACCCCGTACATAAATTTTCTACATAGCATTTCCTTGATGAAACTGGAAATTCTACTGCTTTTCGTTCCGGAAGAATTTATGGTCAAAATGCCGAACTATCCAGATTAGACCTGAAATTTTCCCGGTCGTTACAATAGAAGGGTGACCGGTCGACCGGACCGGTCAACCGGTGGGGAAAAATCCCAGGGCCAACCATGGCCGATTCGCGAGGAACAAAGCCAAAACCTGCAATTTTGGGTCCGATTTCGACATATTCTCAAATGAAATGTATAGATCCAGTTTCAAATCAACAAATGGGGTCCAAAAAATCAAAAACCCCCAATTTTCATCAAGGTTTCACCAAATCCCATTCGGATTCCATTTGAAAATAAAATTTAAACAAAAAATTACCAAACTCAACTAAAACGAGTTCCACAAAGCTAAATCCGAAAATCTAAAGTGAGTTTCAAAGAGTTTTACCTCAACCCAAGCTTTGATTGTTGAAAATCTCTTAGAAATCCCTGTTTTTCTTCAAATCCGGTTCAAGAACGTTCTTGAGAGAGAGGGAAAACTTGAAAGAAAGAGAGAGGAAGAGATGGGCGAGAGAGAGAGAGAGAGTGCTCGGAGAGGGAGAGAGGGAGAGACTAAGAGAGAGTGTGAGTGAGTGAGAGGGTTACGGGAGAGGAGGGAAAAGGAAAGAAAGAAAGAAAAGAAAAGAAGAAAAGGAAAATAAAATGAGGAGAAGAAATAATAAAGAAAGACAAATAAACGTAAAGAGGGGTGAAACTGCAATTATCAAAAATAAATTTAAAAGTTCATGATAAATTAAGAAAATCAATTTAGGCACACTAATAAATCACAATTATCATAATTAAACAAGTTTGATTCTGGAGGGCGTTACAACTTGACTTTACGAGTGATGAATTAATTGACAATTTCAAGTGCTACCACCCCAAAGATGGCTACACACATCACATTTTTTAGTTAAACAGCCAATACTATAGGCAAGTTCTACAGTCACAACAAGTTGAAACATCAAATATGTAGAAATTGTTGCCCAATTTTCATTTTTCAAATCAATACTCTTACTTTAGATTACATAATGAATTAGATAAAATAGGAGCATTGAAAAGAAATGAAATACTTACCAGTAGATATCTAACCCTTAGTACCGGCAAATCAATCATAATCATCACGATCAAGTAGTTTTGTTGTGCTAAAAAAAAAAAAAGTAAAAAACTCTAGTATTGGGTTCAATAGAGCGCCGTTCTTGTTAAATCACGATTCACGATGAACTACCAGATGAGTGCAATCGTGATGGATGCAAGACAATGAATGGGCTGCGCTTTCGATGACATTTATTTGAAAAACATGGTAGGCTCCATTTAATCTTTGTGGAAGATCAAATGGCTTCGATAATGCAGTACTTATGGCCACTCAGCTTATTTTTAAAGCGAGATATTTCGTTACAGAAGGAAAATTCTTTCATGCTTTAAAATGATATTTGGTATCAAAAAGTGATAAAGCAATACTAAGATAAAAGTACAGGTATGTGCTACATAATAATAACCGTGACAAATGATAGTTGGATGTGTATATGGGAGTACGTGTGCTAATACTTAAAATAGATACAGGTGATATATTATTGACATTGTTTTGTCTCGATTGCATAAACGTTTTTGGAAATAAATCTTATATATTTCTGCAATTTGGTGGATTTTACATTCTATGGTAGTTGAGGTGTTCATTAAGTCCAATCAACCGATTAAACTGACCAGTCTAATTTAATCTAATTCATATTTAATAGATTTGAATTGGATGTAAATTTTTTAAAACTGACTTAGATTGAATTGGACATTAATTTTACTTTCAAAACACCTCATCCAAAGCCATCTAACCTTCTATATTATATATATATATATTCGGCAAATGAGAAAAGGAAGAACGTACTCTATATGTACACACACACACACACACACACTATATAGTTACCCTCTGTTGAAAAAGCTCAATTATGGTTTTTTCCCCCTGAAAAATTGGTTGCAACATTCACGGATGATGAACATTTCTCTCCCATTGTTTTCTCTATTCCTTTTCTGTTACTTCAAATAAATTGTTTTAGCACACTTCGATAATGAATGCCAGTTCGGCAATGGTCAAGTAGAAGTTTATTTTATTTTATTTTATTTTATTATTATTATTTTTTATTAGAGGAAGATAGCGGGAGATGACGAAATAATCTCAACAGTACATTTTTTTTTGGCAACTTACATTGACATCACTTGTGTTTTGCTAAAATAATACTGAAACTCGTTTAACGGAAACTAATTATGTCAACACCTTGACTTAATTATTGTCCAATCAATCTCAAATATCTTTATACATATACACATATATATCGTTTCCATATAGCCTGAAAAAGAAATAGAGCATATTCCCATAATAATAATAATAATAATAATAATAGTAATACTAATAGTAATATAGAGCCTGTACCATTAGTTTATTGGAATTAGTAATTGAGGAGTATAGTACCTTTGTAGCTTGGACTTTTGGAGTGGTGGACTAAAAACGTTTTCTTACCGATCAGGAAAAATAAAAGTCAAAAACGTTTTCTTTCCTTGTCCTATGTGTTTACTTACCAATCAGGAATGTTAATTTGATGTAGAGAATGAGAAATTTTGGTATAGAAAAACGAACAATCCTATTTAGTAAACCTACGATATCATTTTCCTTTCAATTAGAATAAGTAACAAAATTCTTTTTTGGCCTTACTAAATTTTGATTAATAACTTCATTTGCAGTGTGAAAACGTTTCTCAATGCAAGTTGGAGGTGATCAAGTACAAGGAGGTGGGCGAGAGATAGGGGTAACAAGAATTCAAGAATTCCTTCTCTTATTTGTTGAAAATTAAACAAGATAGATATGCTCAAATAGTTTTCATGAACCAAAATTAAAGAAAATGGAGACAAAATGTCACTCCAAAGTTGTTTCCGAGAAATATTAAAAGAAGGAATTGATTTTTTTGGGTGAAGGGGACGCCAGAGGAATTTCTGCACCATATGATTTCTAGCGAGTGTGTTGGTCCCGTTTCTGACAAAAGTGCATACCTACATACATGATGGAGGTAAGAAGAACGAAAACTGAACAATATAGAGCATATTGGAATAATAAAACTAGAGCATATTCCCATCAAAATAATAATAATAGTAACAATAATAACAATATAGAGCCTGTACCATTAATTAATTTATTGGAATTAGTAATACTAATTGAGGATTATACAATGTCTATCTATAGACATCTACGAATGCAATTTTGTAGTTGACACATGAAATTCGGGATTAAAAGGAGAAGGCCGTGCACTAAACGCTGGTTGTTTAATCATCATTTTCATTAACGGAGAATTGGATTGTACTTCGTGATATATAGGTAAATTAACAATAAAAAGTGAATCAATCAGTCAATAACTCACTTTCTTATTATTTTCTTTAAGTCCGTTCTTAACGCCTTTCCCTTTCCGGTGTAGTCCAAACGGTTCAATGCATGACTTGTCGAGGGCATAGTCAAGACCATTTGATAATAACACACAGACTTTTTCATACCCCAAATATCACTCCTTGGAAAGATCATATGGTGGAAAGTTGACCGACTTTGTATCATTCATACGCTTTTACTAAGAAACATGCTGAAAGACACCTGCTAAGCACAATTACTAATAAAAGGTCTTTCTTTTTATTAATCAATGGTGTCGTTGCCTTATAGCAATACTCTTTTGCTAATATATGGTCTCTGAGCCTCGAACAATATATAAGAATGTTGTGTGTTTATATGTGTGTATATATTGCATACATAGGAAATAGTTAGCTTATCAAAAGGACCAGGTGCTAATTACATCCAGCTATCTTATTTGAACGTGAAGTTTTAAGTGTACAAATTAGAGGTGGCCGAGAGATAAGCGTAAAAAGAATTCAAGAATTCCTACTCTTTTTGGAAAATTAAAGAAGATAGATAATATCAAATAGTTTTCAAGAACCAAAATTAAATAAGATAAAGACAATCTGTCATTCCAAAGTCGTTTTCAAGAAATAAAAGAAGGAATTGATTTTGCGTGCAGGGAATTTCTACTCCATTTGAACCCTAGCAACCGTGTTGGTCCCATTTCTGACTATTATGAAAAACGAAAACCCAAGAGAAAGAGATAAGCAGTTTCTTGGAGAGAGACAGTCAAGCCCAGAAGTTTTGGTCAATTATGGGCGTTGAATTTTGTTTAAGTCACTGATGCTTTTAACAAGTCTATAAAAATAAGAGCCAATGCAGGAATTAATCGTCAATAAGTTTTCCAATTAATATTCACCCGTTTGAGCAATATGATTTCGGCCTCCAATATTTCCATCTTTCTAATTGGTTCAGTAACATGGAATATTTTTATATTTTCATGTATTGTAGCTAACGTGGAAAATGCCGTTTTCCAAGTGAAAGCTTCTGAATCAATATCACCAAGCGTTGATCATCTCAAAGATCCAGAAGCGCAGTGCCTGAGCCAAATTCTAACTTGGTGGTGGAGCGATGAGTACATCAATACCAGCACTAGCCATTGCAACTGGCCCGGTGTAACTTGTAACCAAGCTGGGAAAGTTACTGAACTTTCTTCACCACACAGCACAAATGAAAACGAGGGAAGAATTGTGTTTCAGAAGATGAACTTAGCATGCCTTCCAAATCTAGTTTGTCTGAGTTTTTACGGAGCCGGACTCACAGGTAGCATCCCGCGAGAGATAGGCAGTCTTTCAAAGCTCACCCACCTTGACCTATCCCGGAATCGTCTGACAGGTGAGTGGCCTCTCTCAACACTAGCCAATCTCAGCCACTTGTTTAAGCTCACCTACCTTGATCTTTCTTTTAATCAATTAAGTGGTCCTATTCCATCAACCATTGGTCTTTTGAAAAATCTGGGTTTTTTGGATCTAAGCGAAAATCACTTCAGTGGACCACTACCATCTTCTTTGGGTAATTTAACCAACTTGTCAAAACTGTATCTTCGTTCAAACCAAATTAACGGTTCCATCCCTCCAACTCTAGGCCGTTTAATCAATTTATATGAGCTAGACATCTCTTCAAACTACATTAGTAGTTCTATCCCCTTGGAACTTGAGAATTTGGAAAATCTAAGGTCTCTACTTATTAGCAATAACAAGCTCCACGGTCCAATTTTTCAATCGCTGAGTGGTTTCGCCAGTTTGACTCATCTTGACCTGAGCTCAAACCATTTTGATGGTCCCATAGGTCCTGATATTGTAAATCTAAGCCAAATGATTACGTTGGACCTATCAAATAATGAATTTTCTGGGACAATGCCTCAACAGATTGCCCAATTAACAGGATTGGTGCATTTAGATCTTTCCCAAAACAACTTAAGTGGAAGCATTCCCACAGAAATCTGCGCTTCTCTATATTGGCTAAAGACCTTAGACCTCAGTCACAAGTTCTTTGGTGGGGAAATACCCTCTCAATTGTGCTGCATGATACCTTTAGAGACGATCAACCTTGCCTTCAACAACTTCCCAGGCGACAATAACTGTTCATCTCAATACTGCACGGATGGTGATTTAATATGTGCGCCGAAAGTTCACCCTCATTCTCAGACAGAGGGAAAAGGATTCATCTTTCTCCATATCATTCTCCCTACCGTCTCTCTCTTTTCCTTTCTCTCCACTGCGTTTTTGCTGGTCGAGAAACGTACATTTCAATTGTTCACCATCAAGCGTATGTTTAAAAAGCAAAATGCCCAGCCTGTTTGTCCAGAAACAAAGAATGGAGACATATTCTCTATATGGAATTATGACGGACAAATTGCATTTGAACACATCATAAGAGCAACGGAAGACTTCGACATTAGATATTGCATCGGGACAGGCGGTTATGGCAGTGTCTACAGAGCGCAACTACCTAATGGAAAAGTAGTTGCCCTGAAGAAACTTCATACTTCTGAGGCTGAAGTGCCAGCTTTGAGAGAGAGTTTCGCGAATGAGGTGAAAACTTTGACCGAAATACGTCACAGAAACATCGTGAGACTCCATGGATTCTGCTTGCATAACAGATGCATGTTTTTGATCTACGAGTACATGGAAAGAGGAAGTTTGTTTTTTGTCTTCAGCAACGATGCGGAAGCTGTGGAACTAGATTGGAGCAAGAGAATTAACGTCATCAAAGGTACAGCTCATGCCTTGTCTTATATGCATCACGATTGCACTCCCCCAATTGTTCATCGTGATGTGACGACCACCAACGTTCTTTTGAACTCGGAATTAGAGGCTTTTGTCGCTGACTTTGGCACTGCTAAAATACTCGATCCTGATTCGTCAAATCAAACCATGCTTGCTGGTACTTATGGATATCTTGCTCCTGGTAAGTCATATTATCCCTAACTCCATCTCTTGTTTTCTCCTCTTATCTAAATTCCTTGTTTAACAATTATTGAATTGAAGTGTAACATTTTTATGGAAAGAAAACCTACACGCAATTGATGCTGCAACCGATTGTGAATGTAGAACTTGCATATACGATGGTTGTGACTGAGAAAACTGATGTCTATAGCTTTGGAGTGGTGGCACTTGAAACGCTAATGGGTAGGCATCCAGGAGAACTCTTGTCGTCGTTTTCATCATCGTCGGCCCAAAACATGTTGTTATGTGAAGTGCTGGACCAACGCCTACCACCACTGAGAAATCGCATTGTTGTGCACGATGTTGTTCTTGTGGCTACGCTAGCATTGGCATGCTTGAATGCCAAACCGAAGTGTCGGCCAACAATGAAGCAGGTTTCTCAATTGCTTCTTTCTCGCAGAAGAACATTAGCCAAGCATTTCCACGAGATTTCACTGGGGCAGCTCATTATCCCAGATGTCTACGCAGATGGCGAATGTGAGATTGGTACCAGTGATCTTCAATGATGATTCTTGGGACCAGGATCTACCTAGGGGCTCAATTTTGGAGATCAAACTTTTAGTCAGTTTTTGTTGTTTTATTTATGAGTTCTTATGTACTAGAAAATTGTAAGTGAAGACTATTCTCTAAAACACCCCGTTCATTTCGCCGATTCGAGTTTAGAATTCGAGTTGAGATGTGACGTTATGTGAGAGTTCATGACTACGTATTAAAGGTGCAATTTTTCACTTTTTCAAGTACTAGTGCATTTTATCTTTTGAACGTCCTTTAATCTTTCTTAAGAAAAGCAGAATAATAAGTAAAATTAATAAATTTATGAGTAGTTCTTGAATTCTTTAATCTCTTTAAAATTAGTCCATGCAGTCCCATAAATACTCCCTCACTATTTCATAAAAATAAATAAGTAAATAGTCCTTTACCTAAAACAAACTCTCGTAGTCCCACTATTAAATTTTGAATGATAATTCATGGTCCCACTGTTAAATTTTAGACGATAATTGTTAACTTGAACTAACGAATGGTCCCTAATCTCTTTTTTCTCTCTTTAAAAATAGTTCTTGAGTTGAAAAAAACAAAACAAAAGTTAGCCCCTTTATTAAATAAATGGATGAAAAACATTATATCTAGGAAGTTGTAACAAATTTAGTCCCTAAACTGTAAAAAGAAAATGCTAAAGTTAGTCACTTTATTAGATAAATAAATGGAAAATATTAAATACCCACAATTTAGACCCTTATTGAAATCATTTTTTAAAACATTTTTCTAAAGAAAAAAAAGAAGGATAGAGAAAAATTATTTGTTTTCAAACTCTATTGCTACACAAATCTTTTTCTTGTACTAAAAATTCCTTGTTTTCAAAAATTAGGCCAAGACTAGGGTGAGCATTCTGCAAACACTGCTAGCCAGGGGAAATATGTTTTAATCATGTGCAGCATTCAGCAATCTACTTGCTACATTCATATAATCACTTGTCAACTAGAAGGTAAACTATTGATTTCATAACCTTCAACAAATAAAATGGTAAACCCAAGGCTGGAACATTCTGGTTAAATTTCAACGTCTTATACAATTTCCTAGCCCATAAGTTTCTGTTACTCTCATTCACCCCTAAAAAATATACATCCACACCAATGCCAAAGTCCGCCTCAGAGTTTGACTTCTCTAACATATTTTCAAGTACCTTAAGAGAAGAAGAAACAAAATGTGGGTCAGAAATCAAATTGCATTCATCACAGCGACTGTTCTCCAGGTTTGGGCGACCGATTTCGATGATTAAGGTGACATGGAGAGGCATGCTGACCATTCGATACAGAGAGGCTTCTTATTGGATGCCCGGTCCTTGAAAGCCCTGTCTGCATTCTGCTGCCGTTTCTAGCGTTTGCACCAGACCCACCACGCTCCACTTGAAGAGCTTGGAAGTAGGATGAGGAAGAAGCCATGTCCTTTAGGTCAGGCAGAGGCTTTAGCACTTCAACAACTTCACTCATCAGAGGTCTAGCTTTTTGATCACGGCTTAGGCAGTGCGCAGCCAACTGAAGTGCTTTTTGAGCACCTTTCATTGAGAAGCGTCCTTCCAGGCGAGGATCTAATAGTCGATAGAACCTTCGCCTTTCTCCAAGATGTGGCCGCGCCCACTCCACTAAGTTCTGCTCCCCATTGGGTCGACTTTTGTCCATCGATCTTCGACCAGTCAACATCTCAAGTAGAACCACCCCAAAGCTATAGACATCACTCTTTGAAGTAAGATGTCCTAATGAAAGATGGAACAATATTTAGCAAGTTTATGACGTTTAAAATCAATGCCTAAATATTAATGGGTTGGACTAAAAACATGTCTTGGGTTTAGAGACAAATCTTATAATATATCTCGAATGTTTCCTTTCAGCACTAGAGGTAGATTAAGAAAATATTGTAATTACGAAATAATGTGGCCCATCTCGTTTCCTAGAAAATATTGTAATTACAAAATAATGTGGCCCATCTCGTTTCCTAGATACGTGACAGGAAAAATGAAAGAACCAAATTGAGAATAACAAATCTCAATGATAAATGAGAGATGGGTTTCTTCGTGCTAACCTGTCATGACATATTCAGGTGCTGCATAACCGTAAGTACCCATAACCCTGGTAGATACATGAGTTTTATCTCCCTCTGGACCATCTTTAGCAAGACCAAAATCAGAAAGCTTTGCATTGTAGTCCTGAAATGGTCAGTTATTAGTTACAGAAATAGGTTTTAGAACAGACTAAACAAATTGTGCAGCTGAACTCAGTAACACACCGCGTCCAATAGTATGTTAGATGTTTTAAAATCTCGATATATCACTGGCCTTTCAGCTTCCTCGTGAAGAAAGGCAAGACCTTTGGCGGCGCCAAGAGCTATTTTCATTCTGACCGACCAAGGAAGGGGCAGAGACCCTGCTAGATATTCCAAAAGTATTATGTGTCTGTAACAAAGTTGTAAAAAGAATATATATATAGTAAAGGTAAAAATTGTAGAATAGCGTACTGGCATGGTTATGAATGTGCCACATTAGGTTTATTAAATAAAAAGGAAAAAGAAAATCAGGCGGAGCAAAACTTTAAAAATGAATTACTCACGTATTATGGAAAGGGAAAAAATGATCTACCCTTTAAACATCAACCATCAGATATAAAATCTATCCAATTACAGAAATATGAAAGATTTGTTTCCATAACGTTCATGCAACAGAGACAAAACAATATAAACAATATATCTTCTTTTGCAACCATACAAGTATTAACACATATAATCCCGTACACCCAACTTCAGGGAAATGTAATGGCCGTCCCTATCATGTGTCCTACATATATGAATTCCATTGCCACAAATAATAGCACATAACATTTACTTTTCATCTTAGTATTGAATTCGATTTATCATGTTCCAACACTAAATATCATTTTAAAGCATAAAAGAAGTTTCTTTCTGCATGAATATTAGACTTCATGTACCTACGAAAAAACTCGCTTACAACAGTAAGATTGCACGAGGAAAGGTGGTTATTAAACATATAACCACAAACCACTGCCGAAGACTATATTCCCACATTATAAGCCTGTCTCGGGTTAAATGAAACACATTTGATATTGTTCAATCTTAACTCTAAGCATGAAGTACGGTGCATTAGCCTCAGACATAACAAACCCCAGTATTAGGTGGAAACGAAATAGAATATAAAGGGTACAGGCTAGATAAGCAAACAACATATGATGACTTTTTATTTTATTTTATTTTTTATAATGCAAACATGGGGATCATGAAGGGGAAACGTATCAATTACTAACTTCTGCAAGATATATTCATAACCACATACTCCTGAAAAGGTGATTCTCCAAGCTTCCTCGAGGCATAAACTCATAGACGAGTAACCTTTGATCATCCTCGATGCAATAACCAATTAACTTCACCAAATTAGGATGCAGAAGGTCACCAAGATAATTAACTTCAGCCTGCAACAAAGGAAATCCACAGAGATATTCTTAAATGTGGTAGTGGAATAACAAGTGGACATAATGTTTTTATCTCTACAGAGAGATAAATAAATAATTAAAATTGTAGTAAGGTGCCGCACCAGCCATTCTCTGTGACCCTGCAGTCCATCATGATTCAAAGTCTTTACTGCAACCGGAATCCCTGTGCCAGCTTTTGCCGGAGCAGTTCCATTTTCACTAATCCAACCTTTGAAAACACAACCAAATCCACCCTCACCCAGAACACTCTCAGGTTTAAATCCTCTAGTTGCTGACTTTAGCTCATTAAAGTTAAATTTTCGAAGTTGGGAAGAAATTTTAAGTTCCTCAGCTACATTGGGAGTGGATGAAGAACTTTCTGCAAAGCTAGTGGTTGATGATGACGCAACTCGAACAATTGGTTGGTCTTTGCTGGTGTCATTTGTAGATTTACTTTCCGCTGATTCAAAGCGTGAATGTAAATAACATTATCCATGTCAAATAAGCAATTATGGATACTAAATTAATGCACAAAATGTAAGTAAATGAAACATTTCCTACTATGGAACACAACAGGGAACATGTCAACAATCGATACTTGTGCCTGTTGGTATGTAATTAATAGAAAATGCCTAAAAGGCCAACATTTGTGGAAGCATACCTAGCAAGTCACAACTCTCAGCTTCAATGATTACGTCACGGTTATTAGTATAAGGTAATTTGTGCATGAAAGCCCATGCAGAATATCCCTTTCATAAGTTTACTTACGTGCACTGAATAAACCAACAGGTATTAAATGTCTCGAAACGACAAAATCTAGAGAAAAATATGGCCACATTTGGCACTCCTCACTTGGTAACTGTCATACACTCACCGAAATCAACATACGTGGCAGCGCTAGGAGATAGATAAATAACTCCAAGTTTTAATCATATTCTAAATGTGCAAAACATGTCCATATACAAACTTCCATCTTACAAGATTTCAGATTAATTAACCAATTTTCAGGAAAGAGAATCCATTTCCATACCAAAGGTTAATGGTCTTTACTAATAACTAAACCAACTCTGGACATTATTCTGATAACAGTGGCATAACGTTATTGTTCCAAGCAAGCAGTTAACCAAACAAGTGGATGTCATATTCGGACAGCAATCAAAAGCCCTGAAGTTGGTTCTTTATGCATGTTTAACAACTTATCAATGCCAAGTAGTTTCATACATCTCCCTCTTGATCCAACTAATACTCTTAATTTTATCACTACTACTGAAAAGAGTATAACTGTAAAGAAATGCCAAGTCATGGTTTAGTATCAAAGTAGTACCCCTTTTATTACTGAAACTTCAAGGGCCATCAAACATTGAGAAAACCCTAAATGACCGAAATAGTTATAATTAGTACATTCTTAACTATTCATAGTTAGCGTTTCCTCCTAAATAATAGATGACAAGTAAGCAACAATCAATTAACCATATCACAGGTCAAAATAATTGAACGCTGAATAGAATCAAAATCTACTATCAGGCACAAAAAGATGAAAATATACGCATTCAAAGGCGGACCCTAGTGCCAAAGAGGCTCCCGTACTATGACAGGCTCAAGGGAAAACTCAATCCCATATGTACGTGGCCTTACCCCCGAAGGAGAGGCCGTTTCCAGGATTCGAACCTTGGACCCCGGGTGCAAACGTAAGCGCTCCCACCACGGTGCCAAGGCCCGCCTTCAAACTATACGCATTCAAATGAGCGAAAAATTAGAGCATAGTTACAACATTGTGAATTGTTGCAACCTAAGAATTAAATACATAACATTAAGGAAATTCATCTGACATAAAAGCATACATAAAATGGCCCTCCATACTAGCCAATAAACTATAATGCACAATAGAATCCATCTTCCATGGGCGCCAAACATATACCAATAGATATTATCCGCTCCAGATTAATCATGTCTATAACAAACAAACTCCATAAAGGGTATTCAAGAATGGAAGAAAATATACCAAAAATTGAATCAATGGATTAAAAATTTTACCATATAGTGTACTAGTGGCACTTCCACTAATGGAGCCATCGACTTTGGCCTTGGAAGACAAACAGCTTATGAACCTAAATTTCATCCAACACCCAGTTGTCCCCTCATCATCTTCCTCATCTTTCTTCTTCTTATCGTTTGATTTTCCCACATTCCACGCCCCAACTTGAATAGCATCAGGACCTAATCCCATTTTCCCAGAATTCCTAAACAACACACCCCACTTTCTCAAAACAAAAGATTTCCCAAAACTGAATAAGAAAAACCGTCCAAACAGCCCAAAAAGAAAGAAAGAAAAAAATCTACCAAACCAAAGAGACCCTTTTGAAGAAATGAGAAATGTCATTCAACTGAAAACCAAATAGAAAAACCAAACCCCCCAAAATCACCAAACCCATGTGAGAGAAAATGAGGAAGAAGACATGCAACACAAAATGGTCCTTTTCCTAAACCAATCTGTGGCTATTTTCACAGTCCATCTTTAACCCAAAAAAGAGAGAAACCAAAAAAAAAAAAAAGGACTCAAGTAACGGCAAAGTTCGAAGAGACAAAATGTATGATTCAACGTGGATTTGTGAGGGTCCCTTGTAGGCTAACCAAACAAACAGTGAAACAAAAGTTGAGCCACAGGGAAGAAGCCAAACAGGCAATGTGGCTTTAGAGAGAAGGAGATATATAAACACAAATGTTTGTACATATACATATACATATATATATATATATGTATGTATGTATAGAGAGAGAAGGACAAAGATTTTAAGGGAGGAAACTCAAGGAGGAGAGAGAGAATGTAAGAAGGGAAGCGGAGGAAGTGCAAAAAACAACAGGCACAGACCGAAGCAACAGCTTATATATTAGTTTTTATTTTGTTTTATTAATTGCCTTTTCTTTTTCCTCGGTCGTCAATCAGGAACTTTTCTGCTTTTTTGTCGGGCTGTTTTAGTTTAAACTCCTCTTTTTTCGGTGTCCATAAAGGAGTTTTGTGAGCGGAATCCAGCCCAGATTCAAACAGGCCCAAAAAGAAAGGGCTCTTTACCTAAAGCCCAGATTTGGTGTATTCTTTCTAGATAATCTTAAAAAAATACTCATGTGCGATCAAGATTTTTACTATTTTTTTTTAATTCATAACTTTTTTAGTTAAATAATTATATTATAAAAAGGTATTTATTAAAAATAAAAAATAAAATTTTAGACTCATACACTTTTAAGAGTAAATTCTCTATATTTTTTTATTTTTTTAGAGAAAATTACTACCTTAAAAATACACGAGTCTCAATTTATACTATTTATTCTGGATTAATATATTTTTACTAATTAAGAGTAAGAGACAAAAATCTCTACTCAAAATGTTATTTAACTAAAAAGAGTATTAATCAAGAATAATAGGTAAAAATCTATACTTATACATTTTAAAAAGTATATGTCTTAATTTTCTTTTTTTATTTAAAAAAAGGGGTAAATTACATTCCAAATCAAAAGGAGTACACACTAATGTATTAGCAATTCAAATGACCATGCAGTACAAGCAAACTTAATCCCAAACCATGGTACATTCTTGATTCTATATGTTTCTTTTTTTTTTCTTTTTATTAGTAAAGATAGTAGCTTTATATTTTTTTTTCTTTTCTTTCCAACAAATCTCAAACCCTATCGTTTTTAGGATTTCCCTTTCTTGACATGAATCTATTGTTTAAGTGCTAAATACAAAGCACTTAGACCAAGGGGAATGCGTTAGATTGTCTTATAATTATCGTTTTATTGTCCTAATTAATTGTCTTGTGTTTACACTTGCTCTAAACACATTAATCATAATGCTAATCACATAACAATAATGCAACTGTCATTTCATACATAAAATAATGATTTCACCTTCACCAAATGATTAATTTGCCAGATTATTCTGTCACATGGTCATTCTTTTTTTTATATATCCATTTTTACCCTTCAATTTATAACATAATTTTTAATTATAATATACAGTTTGTTTCACTATTGGGAAACCTTTCCCTCAAACAGGGTACATACTCTAAAAGTAAAGACACTATTTATACAGGTCCTCTAATTTGAATCTCCATTGCCTAAACTTATATAATTATTAAATAAATAGTTTTCTTAGTAAAGGTGCGATTTCATTTTAAATTACTGGTCTGCCCCTAATAGGCTTAAACAAGAGCTTGCTAGGTTAAATGCTCGTTAATAGTAGTGTAAAAACCAAACAATATATACCATTGGGAAGCGTGTATATATAATATATACTTTGGTTTTTCATTGAGGAAAGCGAGATCTCTATCCTTCTAGATATAGTAGATGCCAATTGCTTAGGTTATATATTATTTTTCTTAGAGAAAACATTAATGGTTGACCAAATCTCCTAAGCATGTGCCTCTCACTAATAATCTTTCATAAACAAATCATATATATACATACATATATATATATATATATATAGATTTTAGTATATCATGATACTCAACAGAGTGCACCTTCCTTGCTCGTATGAATAGTAATGTTTCATAACTCTGTCACAATTCACAACCATGGTGGGAGCTTGGTTGTTTAGATCTCAATATCAAATATTGTAATAAAGCATTTCCCCTTTATTTATTTATTTTTTTGGAAAAAACTAAAATACCGTATTGTCCTTTTATGCTATCAATAACGAATTTCATGGTTCAGTCCACACCATGGTAAAAAATACCGTATTGTTTAGATATTCATCCCACAGTAAAAAAATAAATCAGCAAATAAAACCCTAATCATCATACAATAAGTAGCAATGAAAATTTAATATACTTCCATGTAAGTTTTTTTGAGATAGTATTAAAAGGTAAAATTTAGGATTTTGTTATAAATATAAGAATAGTTATAGTTTATAATTTGGGGAAATGATATATGTTGGTGTGTGAAGAGGGAAAAAACCTATCATTAGTTTATTTTTTAAAATATAACTTTAATTACGTAATTAAGTACTCTATTATAATTGTCATGTTTTTTGTTATCTCATGTGGAGTTTTTTTTTTTTTTTTTTTTTTGGTAATAAGGGATTTTAATTTAAAGAGGTGTGGAGAGTAAAGAAGGGTATATAATTAAAACCACTTTAAAATGAGATACAATCTATATTTTTTTTAAGTACATGTTATGGAAATTTAAGTTTCATAACTTGAACTTTCATCTTTCAATATCAATTTATTAAGTAAAATTGTCCAACATCTTTATAGATTTATTATAACTCAGGCCTTGTTCACTTCGTGAATTTGAGTTTTTAATTTGAGTTAAGATGTGATATTTTTTAAAACTTTTTATTGTAACAAAAAAAATTAAATGTAATATTTTCTAAAATTTTTTATTATAAAATTTTAAAATTAAAAACTCAAATCGGTGAAACTAACGAGGTTACAATTTATTTTACTATTTACATGCAGTATATCCAAGTTTCAGCTGTTGGATAAATATTAAAATGATCTGGACCTGCATTAAAAGTTTTGCAGCTTTTTGTCGACTAGTACTTGAATATTGAAAAAAGCAATTTCATTTTTGGTGTTGCATATATATCGTTCCCTCGTTCAACTGCAGAAATTTGAGTTACATGCATAACTCTAAAAATAAAATAAAATAAAAAATAATGGCTGTACATTAGTTCTATCCGAAATTTCGTTATCACGCCTTCATTACTTCTTAATTTTATACATAAATATCTAGACGTTTAATCAGAATTTCTCTTAAATGACCTACATTTTTATGGTTCTTTTTCCTTTTTCCGATTTTCATTCATCTGGGAAATCATAAATATTAAGATGTCAAATTTAAGTGTGTTTTTGGTCATTCAAATTAATTTATGTCACACACTACAGATATGAATAGTCCCATTTGCCCTCCATGCAAATGAATTCCAGATTTGCTTTTTGAAAGTAAGTTTGGTTTCGTATCGAACTTGGTACATTAATTTGTACAGCGCAGGAAGATGTGACTGAGGACGACCTTGTTTTTTTTATTTTTTATTTTTTATTTTTTTCCTTTTTCTTTTTCTTTTTCTTTTTCTTTGAAAACTTATAAAGTTCACAAAAAAGTACTAAGGAGTCTTCTTTATAAACCCAAATATGGGAATTCAAATAATATCTCAAGACAACATTGGCCCTTGTAAATTCACTCAAAGACACACTGTCCACACGTGTGAAACATGTCATCTATTCTTCAAGAAAGTTCTTATCAGGAAATCTCTCTTTTACCAAGTAACATTACTATTGTCTTATTAACGACTAGTCAACTCTTGCATTAACCCTCAATTATTTGGATCAACAATGTTACTTAACTTGAGTTAAATCTCCTTTTTAGATTTTCCCCAATAAAATTACTTTACTAGTAGGTCAGTTTCTAACCGCTAAATCTTATCAAAATCGTATTATATTAAAAAAAATTATGCTAAACAGATATGTTCTTAGACAGATTATCAGACAAGAAAAATCAGAACATGTTTGGTAGTTCATTTTTTTCATTACCTGTCAAAGAAATCTCCTCCTTATTCACTCCAAAGTAGCTTATACTATTTAATTGGCCAATACTATGATAATATCTCTTTAGTTTGGTGGTACTAATTTGTGGTACTCACTACGTACGTACTCTCAAACACTTGCCTTTTCAACTGCAGCACATGCATAAAATAACGGCATTACCTTTCTGCCATGAAAGTTAAAAAGTAAAAAAGAAAAGAAGAAGAAGAAGAAGAAGAAGATCAGAAAGAAACTAGCAAGTTACAAGGTGTGTGAGTATATGGTGAAAGATATATAGATATATATATATATATATAATAGAATAAGGTGGCAGTAAATCACATGGGAAGTCCAACAGGAGGAGTAGGGCAGTTAGATACTCGATCGTCAGATCAAAATTTCAGAGACGTCACCTTCAAAATACTCGAAACAATGACCATTTCCTAACCCTCCATTTGTACTCTTTCTCCTCCCATCTCTTTGGCGTCTTTCTCCTTGGAATGTGTGCTCAGAATCTCTCTTTCACACACACCCATCCTTTTCAAATTTTCATATACACACATACATACATACATATATATATATATAGTTGATTTATAGTCCTATCATTAATCCTCAACTAGATTTTGCTCCAATCTCCTTTAATACCCGTCATTGATTCCATCTAGCCACCCTAATCCTCTTCATTGGAATTAGCACTACTTCCATTTCAATACAAAACATTTGAAAGATGATTTTGATAATAGTTCTAGAATATTATATATTATACATACATCTTTTTATTCTGATATATATCATCTAAAATTAAAAAACACGCAATATTGGTAAGCATGTTTTTTTTTATTAAATTTATTAGAGAAGGTTGAATTGTATAAAGGGAAAGTAGTCACTTTTTTTAATTCTTCATTTTATTTAGTGGCCCATATGCTACATGCCAGCTTGATCAGTGGCACATGAATATATCTCAACTAGAAATTTAGTTTCTCTTTCACCAAAGAGTTGTATGGGAAAAAAAAAGTGTGTTATTCAGAGATAAACCAATTCCCACATATTGATTTACAGCGCAAGGGTAGTGAAAAATATCGAAAGAAATATATTTAAGTTGAAAATTCTATACACCATTTCTACAACAAAAAAACATGAATTAAAACTTTGCTCATAGTAAAGATATAACTTAATTATGTCTCTCTTAGCTCCTTATACGTACCAAAAAGATGACGAGTAGTGTTTAATTGCTACAAGATTGCCATAAATAGGAATTGGAGATTGGTGGCTGGCTTTCAATGGAAATAGGGCTGCTCGGGCCACGGCCAAAACCCTTGCTGATGATCTTGTTCGACGGCGTTAACGTTAACGCCCCCATTGACGAACATGTTGCAAAGGTTTTCGTTATCCGATGATTGGACCATTTGATGAGGTGGGTGGTGCTCGGACCTTGGTGAGCCTTGGACTAGGAGTTGAGTTATGCTTGTGGGTCTTAGAGTTGAAGGGAAGAGAGTTTTCCCATTTAGTATTTGAGAAGATGCTGATGAACAAGTGTTTATTACCTGAGTAATAGTAGTAGTCCTTGAGATTTCCAAATTCACATCTGAACTGTTCTCACTTCCATTATTACTCCATGATCCCTCGCCTTCTTTCTTATGATTTTCTCGCCCTCCTTCGTTTAAATCTCTGGTACTACCACCTTTTAGAGCTGACAACTGTGTCATTTCAAGCCAAAAGAATCAATATATATTGTGACGAAATGTGTATAATATATATATATATATATTAACATACACATGCCGCCATGCAGTTTGTCTCACGGGTTTGAATAACATTTTTAAATTTTTTTCCGATATTGTTTTCTCTAAAAAAAAAAAAAAAAAAATTGAATTCTGTTTAAACTTTCTATTCAAACACACCAGATAAGGTTTTAATTTTCAAGAGAAAGAGTAATTAGTTTATCTTCTTTTTTTATCCTAGATTATGCATATTTGCGACAAGCTATATATGTCTTTTCGATTGTTAATTTACATATTAATTTTTTTTGCAACTAGGTCTACTTTGAAAGCAACTAAGATTAAACAATAATACATTTCCTTGAGATTCAAATTGGCTGACAGTATATAAAGTAAATAGGAAACAAAACAATATTAATAATGATAAAACTATCATATAGATGATCAATTGCTGCTCATATTACTACTTACACTTCGTGATCTTTGCATATATACAAGACATTATTGTAGATCCAGAAACTTGATAGAGCAATGCAATTAAGATGTATTTGTACATTGCAATCTTAGATAAGAAAAGAATGTATATTGTGCATACAAACACTCACATATATAATATATACATACATACATATAATATATATATATAGTTCCCAATATGCATGTGCTAGGAAGGTAAGTGCACAGAATTTATATAGGCTCCCTATCAATCAAATTCAGTACTCTAGATATTAATAGATATGACAACTAAAGAAGAGGAGGAAAAGGGACCAAAGAAGAAGAAAATGCAAAAGCAATCTGCGCCGGAACTAATTGATCATGAAAGAAAAACGACTAGCTATCTAAGAATTCTTTTTTTTTTTTAAGAAAAAAAAAAGAAGGAAAGGAAAAGCTAGAAAAGAAAGGAAAGAAGAAAGGTCACTTATTATTTCCCTCCAATACTGCCGCTACTCTTGAATGTCAAAGTGCCACGATTTCACAAAGTCAGATCAAGAAAGAACCCAGTGAATTAATTATAGTGATCTCCTATCTTTTTTTTTCCCCTTTCCTTTTTCCCCTTTTTGAGGGGCTTGATCAAATTCAAGTATAGATTTTTACATATAGGTAACCGATTTCGAAACACAAGCTAGCATTCAAAAAAAAAGAAAAGTGTATACATCAAAATCTCAAACTATATAAACTTATGGTACTAGCTATATATATAGTTAGATGAGTTGATTAATTTGGTCCTAACTAATATATAAATATCATTATAAAGCAATTGATCATATATACAGTATATATACCTGAGCATGAAGCTTCTTATTCTGAGAGTGAAGAGCATCATTATCAGCCTTGAGAAGATCAAACTGCTTCTTCAAAACATCATAGTCCTTCTCGAGCTGTTTGGTCTTCCATCTGGCTCTTCTGTTCTGAAACCAAATAGCAACCTGCCTGGGCTGCAGCCCCAAGGACTTTGCCAGATGCAGTTTCCTCTCCGGCTCAAGCTTGTTTCCCATCTCAAAGCTCTTCTCCAAAGTCTTCACTTGCTCCAGATTCAGCCTCTTCTTCTTTTCCCCCCCAATACTCTGCGATCCATCGTCCGACAACGCCTCGTCTTCCCCTCCTCCTCCTCCTCCTTGCATCAGCAATTCCTCGCATCTCATGTTGTGATGATGATGGTGGTGATCATGGTGCCCGTGATCGTCGACGCCCGAAAACGACACCGATCTCTTCAGCAACATAAACGGCGGCGCGTGGTGACCACCACCACCTGCAAATTATTAATTTTAAGATCATCAAATTATATATATTTAATTACATAAGTTATCCAAAAACAAAAAGGAAAAGAAAAAAACATTGATCAAAGATACATGTATTACCAAGAAAGTGTTGTTGATGATGAGGGTGGTCTTGATGAGGATCATGATCTTCTTGGTGTGCTTGGAACATGAAACTATGAGGTGGGAAGGCCATATTGTCAATGCATAACTGGTATTTTGAGTTTTCTTTTTCTTTTTTTTTCTTTTTTTTGGAAGAGTGAGTGATGAGAGATATTGAGAGTGTTTGGGTTATAGAAATATAAGGAGAGGGAGAGGTGTGAGTGTGGAAGATGGGGTGGCTCTCACTTTCATCGTGACAGGATTTTCAGAAAGGGGGGGGGGGGGGGGGGGGGGAGAGAGAGAGAAAGAGGATGGATGGGTAAATATTGGTGCAGAGAGACTACTGAAAGACAGCGAACTTTAGGTGAGAGAGAGAGAGAGAGAGAGAAAGATCCATATCATAGGGATGGGTCCACGAAAGCTCCCTTTGTGATATGATATATGCATTTAGACTCTCCTCTCTCTCTCTCTCTCTCTCTCTCTCTCTCTGTCTCTCTCTCTCTCTCTCTCTCTCTCCTCCTCTTTCGAAGACGAAAACCTCACTCTTTCGAATTTGAATCGCAATTCCCGCCTTTACTTTACTCGCACTCCCACGGAGCCACTCTCTCTCTCCTCCTCTTCTTATCATATGAATCACAACTAATTAATAGGATTTCCAGATCAGCTAAGCTTGGTTTTAAACAAGTGATTTCAATTATAACTTAATGATAAATTCAGATTATAACTTAATGATAAATTCAGGGCTGACTCCATTTTTAAGGTATAGAATTTAAATCTCTTATTTTTGTGCTAAAAAAAAAGTCACCCCTCAAAGCAATATAAATATATTTATTACTAAATTAGAATTTTTTTCCCCATATATAAGCACTAAAAAATAATTTTAACATGAATTAATTTATACTCGATCGCAGGTATATTCACATCTTAATTAAAGATCCAAAAATCAATTGTAATCATTACATAATATATACCAGGAGTTTCACATAAATAATTAATGATATATTATATAACAAGCATTAATTTTTCTCATGTTTTGTGTTGCGTTTCGTATATATATTCATGAAGCTAGAAATTTAGGTGAAAATTGTTCCTTGGACGTGGCTTTGATCATTTAATTACCCAATTGAATGTAACCTGCAAAGTTTTCAAAATCATAATACATTTGTGTGTATTTACATGCTATTAAGGGGTAATTTCCAGTTAGATTTTTGGTTTTTTTAAGTGGGAAGTTCTTTTCAACACTCATTAATATTAACTGGATATAAGCTATATACCTAGCTCATTCGATGATATATGTTTCGATCAACCCAATTAATATTTGAGCAAATTAAGTGGATGTTTAGTTTGTGGATTAGAATAATTCTCGTTTTACATATATTTTTTATAAAAAAAAAATATTGTAAAGAATTATAAATCATTGTTTAAAATTAAAGATGAATACGTCACGCAGCAGCCTCCGTTTGCCATCAAAATGACATTTCCAAGTTCCAAGGCACACATCCATGTGTGACGAGGAAACTTGGCAACATGGAAAATCCAGAATCCAAGGCAATAAAAGCAATATAATACAAAAGCTAAAAAAGTCTCCTAATTTAATCAACATTCATATTTGGTGGACCTTTTGCAATATTATTCCATTAATTTATTTATTGACGCGAGTCTGGCATTTGCTGGAGAATTTTGGTTATTTTGTAATGATCCATAAGATCAAGAGTGAATACAAATATCTATTTTTATGCGTCTCACCTTGGGCTTTGAAATCAAATTAACTACTAGCTAGTAAGGGCCAAGAAAAATATTAATTAATTAATCATATTATTTTCCCAAGAAATATAACTATATTGTGAATGTTCCTGATCATATTGATGATTTCAGGAATACCGTTGGTGGGTGGGGGGAAGCCAAATGGATATATATATATATATATATATCGGCCACTAATTACTTTTTGTTTAATTAATCCCCATATATAATTTGAATCTTGGATCAAATCTCCATCTTAACTTGACAGGTAGTTTATCTGCTGATTGTCCTATAAGAAATCATGTATACTATTTGAATCACATTTATGTAACAATATTTCAATTAAATCAAATCTCATATATTATATAGTACGTACAATTATTCATTGACATGACACATGATAGTTTATCCGCTATAGCCTCTAAGAAACATTAGCTTCTTATTTACTAAAAACAACTTAAAGTTATAAAGCAAGCAATTTGTTTACGGACGATATCTCTCCTCCAATGATATAGAAGTCAGGAGAAAAAGTGAAGTCAAATTCCATCAAAATGTTTTTCAACCCAATATTGCATTATTGCATATAGGAGCACAAATATTTAACTCATGTTCACATATACATATATATATATATATATATATATAATTCAATCCAAGACGTAAGATTCCTGGTTGATTAAAGCTTAATTTAGCACTAATATTACTATTTAACACTTTGCTTCAACTATTCAATTATAAACTACGTATTATTATGGGCCCGTTTAGTTGGTTGATTCGAGTTTTTAATTCGAATTGAAATGTGACTTTATGTGAGAACTTTTTACTGTAACAAAAAGTTAGATGTGACTATTTTTTAAAACTTTTTACTGTAACAAAACTCGAATCGGTGAAATGAACGGGACCTATATATACTAATTAACCTCGAGGTTCTAGTGCAAAAATAAAATAAAAAGAAAGAAAAAAAAAATTGCTAATGAGATTGACGGCAATAGATATTATGTTGATCAAGCTAAAAGGCATTTTTTTTTTCATAAAACCAGAACTAGCTAGGGCATCTTTCCGCTCCTTACTCAATCGTCCTTACTCTCTTCCTTTTTCTTTGAGTTTTGTAAGGAGTAGCAGATAGGGCTCAGAAAGGAAAAGCATTCGACGGTATGTTGTCATTTATCCATTGATAGAGAAATCATTAGTTGCTTTCACTTTTCTAGTGCAAGTGTATCCAAGGAAACTGAGTGACCCACCACCCCAATTCTAATATATATTAATATCACACACACACACATATATATACACATATATATATATATATATATATTGGTGAGAGAAGAAAAATGGGGGTCCCACAAAATGTACTGCTTTAGACCTGGCCTACTACAACAAAGCTCCTCACATCACATGCTTTTATTGGAAGTTTAGGGCTTTTTAGGGGTGGGTACCCCCCCAAAGAAATAGAGGTGGATCCATGTTATATTCCTTTGTTGCTCCAAAATAAATTTAATTAAAAAAAAGAAGAAAAAAAAAGAAAAAAAGAAAAGTGGTCTGAATCTTCTCCACATGGCCTCCTGTTCCCATGTGCCCTGCTTCAACTCCCTTCTCTTTCTCTCTGATGGAGATTCTTCAACCACAAACCTTCTCTCTCTTATTTTAATTTTAGTTTTTTCATTGTATATACATTTAGTGCGAGAGTAGTACTAATACTACTATATATATATATATATTTATATATATATATATATATTGCTACCTTGTTATTCATCTTTTTTTTTACGCATTCTCCATCTATTAATTGAGGTCTATTTCTCACTCTTAAGTCAACTCAATCCTTTAAAATTATGAGGAAATACCTAGTTATATCTACATATATATATATATACACACATTATATTTCAAGAGAAGAAAATAATATAAGAGAGAAGTATTAATTTAGGAGATGATTTGGACGTTACTGCTTAAATTTTGATGTTAAATTCACAACTTGAAAAGGGAAAACGACAGTCAAGAGGGGTTATGGAATGTGCCGAGGCTATGAGACAAAATTTGCTTCAACTTTCATTTTCTTTGGTTTCTATAGTCTTCTATTCATCTCGATGTTTCGTTTTCAGAACTAGGGGGGCGAAAAAAAAAAATGAAAAAGAAAAAGTCCATCAAAATATTTTGATAGTTCGTAGGTATGTCACAAACTTTAATTAATTAGCTAGCTAGAATATTTCTCTTTTATCAGAAACGCTTTTACTCACGCACAATGCACATTCATTTGTTGCTTATCACATAGTAGTGTTCAAGATATACATATATGTGTGGTTTTATATATATATATATATATAGTAGTTTTTAAATATTTATAAAAACTCGTCCAAATCTTCCCGGCACAAAAAAAAAAATCTAAATCTAATTATTCCAATTTCTGAGAAAAGATTGCAGTTATAGGGAAATTTCTTCGAATAATTAATTATTAGATGTTTCTTTCTACTATATATAAATAGCCTCTTCAAAGACATGCTAAACCATCATTTTGCAGAAATCAAACCGCATACAGATTATATGGATCGACTACAAGAATAATTACTTTAAGAGACCAAACTTTTTAATACTAAAAATATTTTGGTAACAGAAAATACACTTTTTGTTACTAAACTTTGGTAGTTGAAATTATTAAGGCTTTGGTGGCAGAAAACACACTTTCCAAATATTCACTTTCAGAGGCTAGCAAAGTTTCTAACTTAGGGATTGTAATTCGTGTATTCAAGTTATATATATATATATAACTTGTCAAAATACAAACATGAATTAAAAAGTAAAAAAAAAAAAGACTAATGCACATATAACATGACACGACATATGAACATGTTTAATGTACGTGTTATGTCCTTGACACAAGAAAATTGACACATTCACTATCTCAATTAGTATAAAATAAATGAAACACTCAAAATTAATAACAATTTACAATCAATTACCTAAATAACTAACAAATATTCAAAGTTATCCAATCCCCATATATATTGAAGCACATAAAAACAAACAAAACATACAATATAATTTACATTATATACACATATACATATATGTGTCCTATTGTATTGATACAAAACCTCGTTCATTTCACCGATTTGAGTTTTGCTACAGTAAAAGGCTCTCAGAAATCTCAGAAACAGTCACATCTAACTTTTTTATTATAGTAAAAAACTCTCATATAAAGTCACATCTCAACTCAAATTAAAAATTTGAATCAGCAAACTAAACGAGTCATAAATAAGTTTAACTTATGGGTCATACGGGTCAATTTCAAGTTAGGCGAAGAGAACCTCAATCTCATCCGTCGAGTGCATTTTGTCGAGTTGGAAATTGCCGGCCTAACTTTCCACAGAAAATAAAAAGTTTCAACTATGATGGGCTGGGCTCTACATGAAGTGTATGTGGGGCTGGACCCATGAGATAAGACTGCTGGCAATGTGGCCCAATTTTAAGTTTTCACGTGGGCTTCTATCCACTTTGAAAGGCCAAGTTAGTATTGAATCTGCGTTT